AGCTCTGTCCATATGCATGCACATAGTCATTTTTTTGAGTAACCTTCACTGGAAATGTTTTAATTAAATTTCCCAAAGGAGATTCAACATTCATCCTTATAAACCATTTTAGTAATAAATTATGACTACTTCCTTATTGCTTTCCTGCTTAATTGACTACACTGGTTAAGTGACGAGCTGAGGTTATATGCACAGAAGTCGTTCGATTATAATCAAACTATCTGACTGTCTTTGTTCTAAAATCTCCTTGGATTTCAAATCCATAAACACTCCAGTCTCAGGAGGCAGAGAACATAAATCACACACAAAACCATGTAGAGGCCATAAAACTGCACGGCTTTATGATGAAATAATTTGTCGGAGCGTTATTTTAATATTCAGTAGGAAGATTATTTGATTTTCTAAACTGATGTGTGACGTGGGGTAATAGCCTTTTTTATCAGCTATAAATCAGTCCTGTCTATATTAGATCAGTGGAGCAGTTCAAATAAACCTGTGCCAGTGCTGTCATTTTTAAGGACCACAGCAAAGATATAAAATTAAAGTTCAAAACATGTTGTTTAAATGACTGTTTTTAGTTTTTGAAGAGCTTTCTAGTAACAATGTTTTGTAGACTTCAAATTTGTATTTTTTCTGTCCATATGCAATATCAGATTTAGCTTTCTTAAATAAAATGGACACATTTTCTACATTAGAAAATGGCCTGCAAAACCAAATCCCAGTACTAGGTGACAAGCTTACTTAAGGCAGTTAAGATACACCTTTAAATAATTAAAATGGTTCACTTACGTTTCCTAGTATTATTGAGGACTAGGACATCTCAGTTCTATAGTCTGGAGGTTCCTACAGTAAATTGACAAAGTTCATTAATTGCGTAAGCAGCTGTGGTGTCAATGACAGAGAAGAGACACAACATTCCAACCCAAAAGCTTTATTATCAACAGTAAAAGTGCTTAGAGAATTATTTAAGTTATTCACTTTTAGGAACAATGCACAGCAGAGAGCGACCATGAAAGAATCATTGATACTAACAAGGGGTCACCCCAGTAAACCCAAACCAGGTCACAAAAAGACCTGTTCCTCTTGGACCCCAGAGCGACTCTGCTGAAGGATGTGTCCGACAAAGAATTACACAGGACATGTTTTCAGGTCTGCATAGGCAGTACAAGGCTCCTACCCTTCTTATAGTCCTCTTGCCATCCCAGTGCAATCAGCATGGCAGGCAGCGATCTTTACAGACTGAATCCCACCTTGTATGCCTGGATGCTTGACAAATACCATGCACTCAGGGGCAATGAGTTCGGTGTGGACCGGACCTGGAACAGAGGGATAAAAACAACACAAAAGGGAAAAGAAAGAAAAGACGGCACACCATGACACCTGCCAATTATCACACATTGATGGTCATGGGTCATGCATGGTCATGGGTCATGGGTCAGCATGCAATTTGCATACAGTTGTATCCCTATATTTCTACACAGTACTTGACTTACGGAGAAAGTTCAAAATGACTGTCCGCAATCCAGATGCCAACATTGTCTACACCTGTGTTAGGATAACAAAGTTGGAGAAAATGTCTTGCACACCGCTGGATTCCAAGGACACCCATTGTGAAGTGGAGCAAGTGAATCAAATATTAAAAACAAGAAAGCTCAGACTGGAGCATAAGAATCCTCTTAAGCACATAAAACAATTTAGAGCCAGTAGCCTGTTTTTTATTTGTGTAGGTTGAAAATGACCAAACAGGCTAGACAGGCCGAATTGTAACCTTAATTTAATCTCGTTTAAAACGTTCATGTACTTTTTATGTTTTCTCCGTTTATTACCAGCAGGTGGCGACCAAAGGAATGAATAACGGGATTTCTTTCTGACATGAATTTGAGTTAAACCGCAGTTATGCTTACGATGCTTTGAAATTAGAGCTTGTGCTGCCCTTAGCCCCTAAGAAATATGAACGTCAATAGAGTTCATTCACCAACATTTTGATTCTCTTCTTAAAGTAAAAAAAAAACACCTTTTCATTACCTTCAAACAGTATGTACAGTATACAAGATTCACGCTACGGGCTTTAGTGACACATAACATGGTGCAGGACGTGATGCTCCATATACAAAGTATATAAAGTGGAAACAATTGTACGCAGGTCGGAATGTAAAATATGCCTCAACTCAATTTCAATTACATTAAGAGCTGCCTGACTATAATACGTGATACAGCCTGCATTGATCATGATAATATAAAAGCAAGTTTAAAACTATGAATTACTGGGGGTTTACAAAATGACAAAAAAATACCTAAATACACGCAAATCCCATAAATCATTATTTTGATAAATTAAGTATCGTAAAATTGTCAAGTAAACCGCTTCATACAGGTCTGAGAAACAATCCAAGAACTGACTTGTTTTCCTCATCGGTATCTGCTATTATATAACAAGGAAGATGATAGGATCACAAGAATTACTGTCCACGTTTCACTTTGCTTTTCATTAGAATCGTTATTTTTCGGTGCACGGTGATAAATGAAGCCTTTGTTAGAAATGAGGGTGTGCCCCAGCCAAGCACAGACACCACCCGTCAGTTTACCAAGCGCTCTCTCAGACCATGCATCTTTGCAGCCTGATTTTCTCGTTGTGAGAGGGTCTTATGAGGC